TCCAGCTCTTGCACCCGCTGCACGTGAAAGGCAAGGAGTCGCTCAACGACCTCGAGATGGCGGCGCATAGCAATGAGAAGCGAGATGCAGTGATTCACTGATGCTTGGAGTCGATCAATGGGGTTCATCGTTGAAATTTGCGAAGTGAGCTGCAATGTGCTTCCATTGTGTAGCATAACTTTTAGTTCAATACACCTTAACCTGGGTTAATAACATTCTTTTTTTTACAAACGACGACTGTTGCTTGAAGTTCCTACGTAAATAACGACTATCATCGCCTTTCTTCAGTTGCGGGATGTACCTCAAATTTTGACCAGTAACTATGTGGTTTGTGGGGAAAGACCCTGCCTTCCCTTAATTCATTTCTGACGATATCATTTAAAGTAGCATCGCCATAATTGAAAACTCAAATTAAATACGGAAATCATAGAAAGTAGCCGCAGATAATACAATAAGTCTACGTCTTAGAAAAAAAAGGCTTTAGTCTTAGAAAGTAGCCGGGAACGTCATAAAAAGAAGCTTTTCCCACTTCCATGCACAACCAGGTCTCAGTCACCATGTCCTTGCCAACCAGACCCCTCATCTTCCTGTTGATGTCGTTACGCAGCTTCTTCAGCTGGACGAAAAGGGTCCCCAAATTGGTCCAGTTCGCTGTGAGGAGGCGCTCCCACTGGCGACGTAGCTCGATTACGCCTCCCGCATCCCGAGCCCGTATTTTTGCTCGAGTTCCTTTCATAAGTCGTAAGGATTCATGCTGGACACTTGATCCGGCAATCCACTAAAAAAAAAACGTTGGTTGAACAGATTCAACAGCTCGGACCGAGCCCTAGTCCAGTGTTGGTAGCGCCAACGCTGGGATTTCGCATGTTCCTGAGAAATCTCCCCCGCCATCGAAATGACGGGTTTCTCAGGCGTACCTCCTAGGAAGTCCATTATGACAACCGTTGCCTCTGGTCAACAACTCTCGCTTGTACTTCTCGTCTAGCGTCTCATTGTGCGTGAGCAACTTATCCCGCCACATGGTGTAGTCCTCCCCATGGAACTTCTCCAGTCCCAGGGCCTGGCCACTCCTAATGTGTCCTTTCACCATGGGCTTACGTCTCGGTACGTATCTGAAATGTTAAGCACTAAGTTAATGGGCGGTCAGATTCAAAGTTAGAAGGACACAGCGGGCACACGCTACGCGTCCTTCTCGCCATTGACATCCCTCCGCAAGTGTTGTCACTTCTTAAGTATCCTTAAGAAGTAAGATGTCTGAAGCTTTTCTATTGGCTACATAGTTGACCAATTATAGTGCATTCTAACAACACTGCACCCGCCCGCCGCTTGCACCGCCGTCCCACCTGCTCATTGCAGCCCTCCTCGCTCATCCAATCTTTTTTTTTAGAAATGCTAAGTTTAAGATGTGGACCACAACATCTACAATTAAAATTTATATATATTTCTAGAGTTACCTACCCGTATGTAGCATTATTATGGTACAGGTCGGAGAAAGTCGGAGGTCGGAGACTCTATGTTATGGACGAGAGCTATATATACCACCACTACTCGAGACTCAACGATTCGCTAGGTGGCCCAACAGATGATAAGAATGTCAAGGCCTTCGACAATGTTTCACCAGTTTCAGTACAAGGCTGCATTAATGCTTCGAACATGCAATTTTTTAATTGGCAAAGCTCAAGAAGCATCTTAATGCCATGAATTCGTGCGGGGGGTCTTTTCAGAAGGGTAGAGTGTTGCAGTGAAAATGAATTTGAATAGGAGAATAATTAAGATAGCTTTGCATTGTGATTGGTCAGTTTTTAGCAATACTTACTACCTCTGCTCGGAAAATAATGCACTTATGTTGGCGTACACAATTCCTCCTAAATTTTATGCGTTTGAATCTCCCGCCCATTTTCAAAACAGATCACTTTCGAATCCTCCCCCTCCGCTCGAATGAAGCAAGCTAACAACTCCGAGCGCCAAGCGCTATGGGAGACACTCCTCCTACGGAGCAG